TCCTCCTCCTCCTCCTCCTCCTCCTCCTCCTCCTCCTCCCTCTCCTCCCCACCTGAAAGAAAAATCAAAAACAGTCAGAAAGTGATGAAACATTAGCCAACAAAAAGCACGAACAGCGTCACCTGACTATACCTTTGACTACGCATGAATAGTATCCTCCCTGTAGAGGGACACGCCCGACTTAAGGCGACACACCAAAAATGACCCGCGGCATTCACGTGTTCGACATCTGGAGGCCCATTCCGGGCCCCGGGGCCGTCCAGAAACGACTCGGGAGGAACAGCCGACCCTGGGGAAGAGGTTGAGAGGTCCAGGGGCCTACGCATCGAAGCAAACGGGGCTTCGTCTGTCTGGGGAGGGAGGAGGAAAAGGAAAAGGAGAAGGAGGAGGAGGAGGACAAGCAGCATGAACAGGAGGTGGAGGAAGAGGAGGAGTGGAGGAGGCAGGAGGAGAGGGAAGGGGGGAGAGTGTCCAAGCGGCCCATGTCGGGAAGAAACATCGACTTGGGAGGAGAGGGCCTGCTCATCCTCCCGCCTCCCTGTTTTTTGTGTTGCCCTGTCCTCCGTCCTCCCATCTTGCTTCGCAGCCGTTCCACTACCAATCCGAATCCCTCCTCCCTACTCCGATGTTGTTTCGCTACATTTCCGCCTCCTCCTGCTCTTCACAAGGGCGAGCTGTTCCTCTTCGTGAGAGGGGTTGTCTCCCCCCTCATCTGCTCCATCCCTCCTCCTCCGCCCCCTCTGCTTTCTGATTCCTCCTCCTCCTTCTCTGGCTCCTCCTCCTCCTCAACATCGAATCGGGAAATCGGATCGGATCGAAATGTGCATCAGACAGGGCTGCATCGGCACAGAGTCGAAATCGAATCGGGTCGGCCGAGACAGTATGCACAATCACGTCATGCAAACATCAGCAACGGATCGCTGGGAAATCAAAATCCCGGCCGTGAACGGACTGGAAACGTATGCACTGCCGGCCTGTGTTGGCAGGCAACTCCTTGGAGGTATTCGACTCGTAGGAGCGATGAAGGGCTATAAGCCAGATAGTTAAGCGGGCATTGACGCCGACTCGACCAGATTATGCGCAGGTCTATGCCGGGTTAAGCGGCATTAAGCTGGATGAAACGACGCTAGGCTGGGTTATACCAGCGTCGATGGCTAGATCTTATACCTGTCAGGAGATGTACCTGGGCCTGTAATTCTCTGCTGGCGGACATCCTCCTCCGCGCGAAGGGCAAGGAGAAAAAGGGGAACGGGAATCGGAGGATGATGATGATGAGGAGGAGGAGGAGAACAGGGATGATGATGATGATGATGATGATGATGATGATGATGATGATGATGATGATGATGATGATGATGATGATGATGATGATGATGAGGAGGAGGAGGAGGAGGAGGAGGAGGAGGAGGAGGAGGAGGAGGAGAACAGGGATGAAGAGAAGCGGGGATGGGAGGGCGGCGGAAAAGGGGGGAAGAGAAGAGGTGGAGCAGCGGGAGCAGCGGGAGCAGGACGAGGAGGAGCAGGGCGGGCTTCGTCGACCAGGCGAGGGCAACAAACGAGCATCTCCGAGAGAGCCGCGAGAGAGCCGGCAGGTCTGGAGGACGTGCACCGGGCGGGGCGGACGTTCTGCAGAACGCCGCGGGGCGCTCGGAGAGCGTTCCGGAGGGCTCTGGACCGACTTACAGGGCAGTTGTTAGCACATGGGATCTTTGAACATATTGGATTTTAATACATGACTAATTCATGAAGGAATTTATGCACGAACTCATCGTTGTTTTGAATGCTAAATGCATGCACTTTTGACACATGATCCGCACGCGGAGCATGCATTTAAAACGGCAGTGTACCCTCATCGGAGGCCTGCCGGAGAAGACGGAGGTTACGCGACTCAGGACCAGGATGGTATTGGATGCTACGCCGGAATTCTCATATCACGATGCCCCAGGACCCCAAGAGGCGGTTGACATGGACCACGTGGGCATGTTCGGCCCCGAAGGGGGGGGGGCTAAGATGTCCATACCCACCGCCTGCTTGGGTCCTGGGACATCGGTCCCCAAGCGGTGAGTGCGTATAAACTCCGGCCTCGGAGTTCCAAGTCTCCGACGTCGTGACTTTTCCCAATGTGGACCGCCAGAGGCTAAACCACTTCCACAAGACTGGCGTTTCATCACGAGTATTCTCTGACTGTCCTGGGGCCCAGTGAAAACCCGAAACACGCAAACTAAATCATCCCGTGGATGTTTTGTCCCACAGCAAGAGGAGGTCTAGGTCACCCCAAGCAATTTTCAAGCCACAACTCGAGCCTCCAACGGCCGCTCGGGACGACTCGGGCACCCCTGGAATGCTCTCGGCGAGGCGCGGCTGCTGGAAACCGTCCTGAAGTGGGAGAACCTTCGATCGAGGAAGAAACAACTGCACAAACACATAAACTTTTGGTGCTCCGCGCGGATTTCTTGGATCCGCGCTGGGCCTCCCAGGGCGGCGCCTCCGGCGCCGCCCCTGGCGCGCTCCGCGCGCCAGGGAGGGGGTCCGGCGCGGATCCAAGAAATCCGCGCGGACCGCCAAAAGCCTATGTTTATGCTGCTTCGCTCCTCTATTCAAGGACAAACGGCAGCTCCCGACGACTCCCGATGACCTCACCCCGACACTTCCACGACGACAGGCGGCCTGGGAATGGCTTTGGGAGCGGGAGGCCTCTCTTGGGGCGATTCCGCCCAGAGCCCGCGAGCCCGCGCCGTGGCCGTGTCGGCGCCCTGGGAGCTCAGACCACCTGTTTGGACTGCGCCAAGTAGTCGGACCACTCCTGGCAAGGAGGAGGAGGAGGAGGAGGAGGAGGAGGAGGAGGAGGAGGAGGAGGCCTCCTCTCGAGGAGGGGCAACTTCCCGCCTCCAGGCGCCGGGGCTGTCAAAAGGCTGTCGCGGCTCCCAGAGGTGGCGGGGGCCCGTGGGGGCCCAACGCAACCGCGCAAGCCGCTGCTGTCGCATCGCGCCAGCGGTCGGTGAGCGACACCCCGAAAAGATCCCGAGCGTCAACGAGCAACGGCGGGATTCCGCCCATTCTGGAGAGGACACCAACAAGTATCGATACCGCTACTCCCCGGACCTCTCCAGGGGTGCGTTCTGACAAGAATTTCAAAGCGAATCCAGCCGTGGCGACGATGGCCTCCCAGGAATCACAAAAAGGCGAGAACGTGGCAAGGGTGGCGGTATGGGTACCTTCTTCTCCTCTGAGCGCCAGCGAGCAACGACAGAATTCCGCCAATTCGTTTCGGGCGCCCCTAAAGACACCCCAAAGGCGCTGCGAAAGCAGAAGCTGTCGAGCGCCAACGCGATAAGGTCTGGCATCGCGGCACCGCATCGCGATGACGTCTAACCATAGCTGGCGTCGTGGCCATTTCTGGCCCCCCCCAGGGTGCCCAAACGGTCAATCGTAAATTATTCAATTGACGGGGCTGCTGGGGCCGAATCTTCCGGAAACGATGGGGACTAGGCTGTTTGAAGCAATTTTGAAGGCGATCGAAGCGTCACTGGAAAGCAGCTTCGGTGGAAGGGGTCAAGAACTCTGGTATCCACATTGTGATAATATCACCGCCTTGTGAATTCGAACGAGACGGGAGGAAAGAAATTCGCCACGAAACAGACGGGTCTTGAGGAAACGGGATGGACATCTTCCCCCATTTCCGAGCTAGGGTCGGGGGGGGGCAGGCACCGTCAAGCGACTCAGGAAGAAAATATGGCATTATCCGAAAATCTGACAACAAGAACTCGAATGACTTGAAAGCACAGCTGTTCTTTCGAAACACTGAAACGCTGCGCGCGTCTTCATATTCCCCACATCATAGGCGGGATTCTGGCTTTCTCTAGACACACCGCCGCGTAGGACAGAACACCTCACCCTCTCCTCCTCCCCTCTTTTACCACCACCATCACCATCACACCTTCATCGCACTGGTCATCATCACCACCACCACCATCATCATCACCACCACCATCATCATCACTACCACCATCCCACCGTGATCCTCAGCCATCATCATCACAACACCATGTGTTCATCCTCACCATCACCACCACACCGTCATCATCATCGCACAATTGCGCGTTCTCTCTCTCTCTCTCTCTCTGTCTCAGCACACACCCAGTCAAACGTATCTGGAGGAAGTTAGCAACATCATCATCAGCAACATCATCACAACCACCGTCGCACACGCTCGCACACTCACTCACACTCACACACTCATCTTGACGAAGTCTCGCGCCGGAGCCTCGTGTGTGAGTGAATCGCGGGGGCTTCCCCGTCTCATGTTTTGAATCCGAACGGGGTATTGGAACCCTGTTACTCTCGTCACGTTTGGGCTCCTGAGACTTGATATAGAGGAAGTCTCGAGCGGGAGCCTCGTGTGTGATTGAATCGCGGGGAACTTTCGAACAGGAGCCCCTCCCTATGGGGTCCCCAACCAATGTATTTAACCGAGCGGGGTGTCGGAACCCTGTACGGTGAGTGCATTGGGTAAGGAACCATTGGAAAAAGAATCCAGGGTCTGGAAGCCGATTGAACTCCAATCGCGGATTGGCCATGGATGCCCTGGCCGCCTTCATCAGATAAGGACCCCTCCAGGGTCTGAAGCCTCCTGGGCACATTCTGTAACGAACGCTCCCACCGTAGTTGTCATCACTTCTGGCCTCTTGAGGCCTGAACATGAAGGAGGCCTCACGCGGGAGCCTCGTTTCTGAGTGAATCGCAAGGGACTCTCTAGTGGGAGCCTCTCCCTGTGGGGCCCGCGTTGCATCTTAGGAATCTGAGGCGGCTCAATCGGCGAGTAGCACGGACATGCCTGATCGGCCTGCTCCGCAGCACCGGAGAAGGACGAAGAGGACGACGAAACTCAGAAACAAATCATGCGGGGCTCTACCGTATGATTCGTCCCAGCCCTCCTGTGTGGGGTTCTCGTTTCGAAAAGAGCAATGTTGACTCCACCTTCTCTCCTTCATCCACTCCTTCTTTCCCCCCTCCTCCTGCCTCCTTCTGCGCTGCTCCCTGGAGGGCTGCGAACTGCGCAATAGTCGCCACTTTTGCGGGCTCCTGCAGGCTCGGCGGAGTCGCGGAGTACGCGGACCCAGGAGGGACCTCGCAGCTCCCTGGGGGGGGTGCGGACTGCGCACCAGTCCCACTTTCGTGGGCTCATGGGAGGCTCGGCGGAGTAGCGGAGTACGCGGACCCAGACGGGATCTCGCAGCTCCCTAGGAAGGTTCGCCTTGCATGACTGTCGCCACCCTCCTTGGCTCCCGGGAGGCCCGGTGGAGTAGCGGAGTAAGCGCACCTAGGCGGGACCTCGCAGCTCCCTGGGTGGCTTTGGGCTGCGCAACTGTCGCCACTTTCGTGGGCTCCTGGGAGGCACAGCGGAGTGGCGTAGTATGCGGACCCATAAGGGACCTCGCAGCTCCCTGGGTGGCTGCGAAGTGTGCAACTGTCGCCACTTTCGTGGGCTCATGGGAGGCACAGTAGGGTAGCGGAGTACGCGGACCGAGACGGGACCTCGCTGCTCCCTGGGTGGCTGTGGGCTGCGCAACTGTCGCCACCTTCGTGGGCTGTTGGGAGGCAAAGCGGAGTAGCGGACTCCCTGGGTGGCTGTGGGCTGCGCAACTGTTGCCACCTTCGTGGGCTCCTGGGAGGCATAGAGGGGTAGCGGAGTACGCGGACCCAGATGGGACCTCGCTGCTCCCTGGGTGGGCTGTGGGCTGCGCAACTGTCGCCACGTTCGTGGGCTGTTGGGAGGCTCGGCGGAGTAGCGGAGTACGCGGACCCAGACGGGACCTCGCAGCTCTCCTGGTGGCTGCGAACTGCGTAACTGTTGCCAGTTTCGCGGGCTCCTGGGAGGCATAGTGGGGTAGCGGAGTACGCGGACCCAGACGGGACCTCACATATCCCTGGGTGGCTGTTGGCTGCGCAATCTCGCTACTTCCGTGGGCTGCTGGGAGGCTCGGCGGAGTAGCAGAGCACGCGGACCCAGACGGGACCTCGCTGCTCCCTGGGGGGGGGGTGCGACCTGTGCATCTGTCGCCACTTTCGTGGGCTCCTGGGCGGCACGGCGGAGTAGCGGAGTACGCGCACCCAGACGGGACCTCGCAGCTCCCCGGGTGGCTGTGGGCTGCGCAACTGTCGCCACCTTCGTGGGCTCCTGGGAGTCATAGTGGGGCAGCGGAGTACGCGGACCCAGACGGGACCTCGCAGCTCCCCTGGTGGCTGCGAACTGCGTAACTGTTGCCAGTTTCGCGGGCTCTTGGAAAACACGGCGGAGTAGCGGAGTACGCGCACCCAGACGGGGGACCTCGCAGCTCCCTGGATGGCTGTGGGCTGCGCAACTGTCGCCACTGTTCTTTGGCGCCTGGGCGGCACGGCGGAGTAGCGGACTCCCTGCGTGGCTGTGAACTGCGCAAAACGTCTCCACTTTCGTGGGCTCCTGGGAGATCCAGCGGAGTCGCGGAACACGCGGATCCAGACAGGAGCTCGCAGTCGGGGGCACACGCACCCAGACGAGACCTCGCAGCTCCCTGGGTGGCTGCGAACTGCGCAGCTGTCGCCACTTTCGTGGGCTCCCGGGAGGTCCAGCGGCGCAGATTGTCCTCGCAACGTGTTCTGCATGGAGCGTCCACTTGAATAGTCGACTCGCGTGGAGAAGGGGTTGGGTACGTCTCGGGTAGTTTTGATGTTGGCACTTTCCTGCAGAGACTGCCCAGTCTGCGAAGTCCCTGCAGGATATCTGACGACCTCGAACCTGAAACATGGGGAAGAGCGTGCATAAAAAGGGGCCCCAGAACACACACACATACATACACACACATAAAACTATTCCCCATCTTCCCCCATTTGGTTTGGGTTCTCGTCTTCTCCCCCACTTCCCGTATTTTCCAATATTTTCTGGGGATTCGACGATTCATAGTGTCTGTGTGTTTTTTCCCTCCTGAGTGTAGTTGTAGTGTTACAGAACGCCTAGCGGTCCCAACGATTCGCGAAGACAAATAATGATCCAGGCGAAGGGCCCCACCATATGTACTTGCGAGCTGCGCAATTGTTGGTGTCGTCTTCGGTGAACCTCCCCATGAGGCCGCGAAGCGTGTGATGGGTGTGCCGAAGTGGGTGCGGTGGTGTCATGTGAGCGCAGCCACTGGGGCCTTCGGTGGAGCTCCCTATGCGGCCACGAACCGTGTGAGGGGTGTGCCGAAGTGGGTGCGGTGGTGTCGTGCGAGCGCAGCCACTGGGATCTTCGATGGGGCTCCCTATGGGGCCACGAAGCGTGTGAGGGGCGTGCCGAAACAGAGACATGCGGAGGGCATAGGCGAGGAGGGGAAGGAGGGAGGAGGGGGAGGAGGAGGTGGAGAGGAACGAGGGCACCGTCTCTTCAAAACGAGGACCCAACACCACAAGATCTTTGGGAAGTATAACGGCGCAGGGCCCAGCCATTTGCGTGCCACATTGTCCGTACCCCTTTCGGTGGAGATCCCTACGGGGTCACGAAACGTGCGGTGGGTGTGCCGAATTGGGCGCGGTTGTGCCCTGCGAGCGTAGCCACTGGGGCCTTTTTGGTGGAAATCCGTAATGGGGCCACGGAGCGTGTGAGGGGTGTGCCGGAATCCGAGATGTGCGTGACGACATGCGAACGCAGCCACTGGTGCCTTCGGTGGGTCGTCTTATGGAGCCACGAAGCGTGTGAGGGGTGTACCAAAATGGGCGCGGTGGCGCTATGCGAAAGCAGCCACTGGGGCCTTTAGTGGAGCTTCCAGTGTGGCCATGAAGCGTGTGGGGGGAGTGCCGAAAAGGGGACGGTGGTGTCATGCGAACGCAGCTACTAAGGCCTTCGGTGGAGTTCCCTATGAAGCCACGACGCGTGTGATGGATGTACGGGCATTGGTGCGGGTGAGCCATGCGAACGCAGCCACTGGGGCCTTCGGTGGAGGTCCCCAAGGGACCACGAAATCTGTCAAGGGGATGTTGGAATGGGTGTGGTGGGGCCATGCAAACGCAGCCAATGGTGGCCTCGGCGGAGCTCACTATGGGGCCACGAAGCGTGTCCCAGGTTACCGAAATTGACGCAGCGGCGACATACAAACGCTGCCACTGGGGTCTTCAGTGGAGCTCCCAGATGGGGCCACGGAACGTGTGAGTAGTGCGCCGACATGGGTATGGTAACGCCATGCGAACGCAACCAATGGGGCCTTCGGTGGTGTCCCCTGGGATGCCACGGAACGTGTGAGGGTTATGCCGAAATGGGTGCGGCGATGCCATGCGAAAGCAGCCGCTGGGGCCTTAGGTGGGGGTCCCTTTGGGGCCACGAAGCGTGTGAGGGGTGTGCCGAAACGGGCGCGGTGGCGCCATGCGAACGCAGTCACAAGGCCTTCCGTGGAGCTCCCTGACGGGGTCACGAAACGTGTCAGGGGTATGCCGGAATGGGTGTGGCTGCCGTGCGAACGCAGCCACTGGGACCTTCGGTGGAACTCACTATGGGGCCACGAAGCGTGTCACGGGTCTACCGACATGGGCGCAGCGGCGCCATGCGAACGCAGCCACTGGGGCCTTCGGTGGAGCTCCCTATGGGGCCACGAAGCATGTGAGGGGTGTGCCGAAACTGGCGCGGTGGCCCCATGCGAACGCAGCCACTAGTACTTCGCTGGGGGTCCTGCGGTGCCACGAAGCGTGTGAGGAATGTGTTGACGCGGGCACGGTGACGCCATGCGAACGCAACCACTGGGGCCTTCGGTGGAGCTCCCTGAGGGGACATGTAGCGTGTACCGACATGGGCTCAGTGGTGCCATGCGAACGAAGCTACTGGGGCCTTCGGTGGAACTCCCTGAGGGGCCATGTAGGGTGTACCGAAATGGGCGCAGCGGCGACATACGAACGCAGCCACTGAAGCCGTCGGTGGAGCTCCCTGAGGGGCCATGTAGCGTGTACCGAAATGGACTCGGTGGTGCCATGCGAACGCAGCCACGGGGGCCTTCAGTGGAGCTCCCACTGGGGCCACGAAACGTTTGAGAGGTGTGTCGGCATGCTTTAATGGAAGGCAGAAGAACAGAGGAGCGCTGGGCGATATGTACCCACAACGGAAACACAACACCACAATATGCTTACGAACATTACGCTACCGAGGAACCCCACATACTTGTATGATGGCCGGAGTGATGATAGCTGAAGTGAAGCATGTGATAATGATGTTGGTGGCTGTTGCCCCGCCGATACCACTCACCTCGCTTGCGTCCCCCAGCGCCCTGAGCACGACTGGCACGGATAGCAAGCTTGCGTACCGATGTGCCCTGAGCACCACCGTCACGGATAGAGGCCGCCCTCAAGGACCACCCCCCCACGCACCCCTGTAATGTCGAGAAAATGCCGCGCCTGCTGTGCCCTGGACGACCGTGACGGCACGGATAGCGGCCGCGCTCACCCACTGTGGTGTCGAGAAAACGCCACGCCTGCTGTACCCTGGACGACCGTCACGGATAGCGGCCGCGGTCAGGGACCACCCCGTGCGCACCCCTTGTAGTGTAGAGAAAACGCCACGCCTGCTGTGCCCTGGACGACCGTCACGGATAGCGGCCGCGCTCAAGGACCACCCCGTGCGCACCCCTTGTAGTGTAGAGAAAACGCCACGCCTGCTGTACCCTGGACGACCGTCACGGATAGCGGCCGCGGTCAGGGACCACCCCGTGCGCACCCCTTGTAGTGTAGAGAAAACGCCACGCCTGCTGTGCCCTGGACGACCGTCACGGATAGCGGCCGCGCTCAGGGACCACCCCGTGCGCACCCCTTGTAGTGTAGAGAAAGCGCCACGCCTGCTGTGCCCTGGACGACCGTCACCGATAGCGGCCGCGCTCAGGGACCACCCCATGCGCACTCCCTGTGGTGTCGAGAAGGCGCCACGCGTGTGTGTGTGTGTGTGTGTGTGTGTGTGTGTGTGTGTGTGTGTGTGTGTGTGTGTGTGTGTGTGTGTGTGTGTGTGTGTGTGTGTGTGTGCGTGTGCGTGTGCGTGTGCGTGTGCGTGTGCGTGCGTGCGTGCGCGTGTCTGTGCTGTGCTGTGCTGTGCTGTGCTGTGCTGTGCTGTGCTGTGCTGAGCTGTGCTCAGCTGTGCTGAGCTGAGCTGTGCTGAGCTGAGCTGTGCTGTGCTGAGCTGTGCTGTGCTGAGCTGTGCTGTGCTGAGCTGTGCTGAGCTGTGCTGTGCGGTGCTGTGCTGTGCTGTGCAGTGCTCTGCTGAGCTGTGCTGTGCTGAGGTGCTGTGCTGTGCAGTGCTGTGCTGAGCTGAGCTGGGCTGAGCTGAGCTGTGCTATGCTGTGCTGAGCTGAGCTCTGCTGAGCTGTGTACGTGCTGTGTGGCTGTGTGCTGTGCTGTGCTGTGCTGAGCTGTGCTGTGCTGTGCTGCGCTGGGCAGTGCTGCGCTGTGAGAAGGAGAAGGAGGAGGAGGGGTGAGGAGCAGACGCGGGTGCGACGCGGGACGGAAGAACACCAGACCCCCACTAAGCATGTGGGGAACATCAATGTTTGCAGTGACAAGATCTCAATGGTTTTTCAGAGGCCGCGCACACCACAGGATGATTACCGAACAAACAGTGTTTTTGCAATAACAAGATCTCAATGGATTTCAGAGGCCGCGCCTCTCCCACCCGCACTCCTACTCCTACTCGTCCTTTGAAGCAGACGGGGGACGAGGAGGAGGAGGAGCCAGCGGAACCAGAAAAAGGAGGAGGAGGAGGCGGAAGAGGAGACAGAGGATACAGCGTCGGAGCCTGCATGTTTGATAATGTGTGTCTGAAGGCGATGATATGTGCATATGAATATAGATGTATATATATATATAGATATATGTATATGTATGTACTCGTGTCCACTCGTGAGTTGAAGTGTGTTCAACACACTTCAAATATGATGTTGGTCTTCTCTGGAAAAAATCTTGCATTACAAGAACGGTTGTCCATGCGGCAAGGACCTAGTGATACGGCTATCGGGATACGGATGCCAAATTATAGGGACACGGGTGTAAACACGATCTGAGTCTGGGGCGGTGTAGGGGCCGGGATCTGGGTCACCATGGGGGGCAACGATGAGCCACCGATCTCCAGGGCCCAGCATGGGGGGCACACGCCGTTTGGAACACACACACACACACACACATGACGACGTACATGTATATATTTCCACATACGTGCATGCGTACATGCACATACATCTATACGCGTACAGGTATATACATACATGCGCGCATGTCAGATATGTATGGCCATCTACACATCAGCACCTTACATGCAAGCTGGCGAAGTAAACACGCACATATACTGCCCATGTTACATCAGGTTCTAGGCTCTGAATCCTGCGCGCCGATGTTTAACAGTTACAAGCGAGAGAAGCCACGCCCCGCTCGCACAGCACCTGGGAGAGATGAGAGTCGTTCTCATATCAGTTCGGAGGGTCGAGGGAGGAGGGAAGGCGTGAGAATCGGGAACGAGAGGGGAAGGGAGCGAGGAGCTGGGGACAGGGAGGGTAGGGAAAGAAAGGGGAGAGATGGAAGAAAAAGAAGGGAAGATTGTTCGCCTCCCATCCTCCTCCCGCATTTCCATATCCAATCTCGTACCTGTCCTGCTCCTCCTCCTCCTCCTCCTCCTCCTCCTCCTTCATCTCCCCCCTCATCCCTCTCTCGTTCTTTCTCCCTCCCTCCTCCCTTCTCCGTCCCTCCTCATCCCTTCTCCCTCTCTGCTCCTCCTCGTCCTCCTCCTCCTCCGCCGCCTCTTACTCATTATCTCCTCCATTCGCCTGCCCTCTCCCTATCTCCTACTCCGTCCCTCCTTCACCGCCTTCCTCCCTCCTCCCTCCCATCTCCTCCTACCACCACCAATTCCCCCTTCGCCTCCATCCCACCCCGGTCCTGGAAGGGAGACTTGACGAAGTGCGTCGCCTTCCAGAGGTCGGGCGTGAGGTAGCCGAAGGTGCACTTAAGTGCGTCGAAGGTGGCCTTGATGAAGTTGCCCTGGAGCATGGGGTGGACGGCATGCAGGCTGGGAGTAGAGGTCGGCTGAGAAGGATGAAGAGGAGGGATGGCGGGGACGAGGGTGAGGAGCACGAGGACCAGAAGGGAGGCAAATGACGAGGCAGTGGAAGAGGAATGACGAGTAAGAGGGCACGGAGGAGGACGAGGCCAAGACTCGACGAACCAATCGGATAATGGGGAGGAGGGGAGGACGAGGAGGCAGAAGGAGGACAATCAAGAGCACAAGGGTACTCAATGAAGGATAATTATTAGGGATAGGGGATGGCAAGCGAGCAGGAATGGATGGGATGGACAGGGGGGGAGAATAGGGGAGACCCCCCTCCCCTCTCCTCGTCCCCTCTTTCACCCTCTTCAGAGATACAAGCAGGGATGGGACGAGCAGAGGGTGGACTGGGACCAGGGGAAAAAAGACACATGTCCGCCGATCTGGAGTCGGAGCTGGATAAAAATCGAACGTCAGGCACCAGCTCGGGGAAGCCACAGCCCGAGCTTCATCTCTGCGGGGGGGGGGGGGGGGGCGGGGGGGGCTCTCTGCCGGGGTAGGGGGAGAGAGGGGGGCACGAACCTCCAAGGAGGGAGGGGGGAAGGGAAGAAGGGAAGGAGAAGGATAGGGGAGGAAAGGAAGAAGGAGAAGAGAAGCGGAAGGGGAAGGGGATGAAGGAAGAGAAGCAGAAGGGGAAGGGTTTCGCCAGGATCCTGCCTGGTCCGCCCCATGGGCGCCCACACGTCCCCAAGACGGGCCGAAGCGACACGGGAGGCCACCAGGACGGTCCAAGAGGCGAACGAGGCGGCCAAAGAGCGCTCCAGGGCGCCCCGGATGGCGTCAAGACGGCCCGGGAGGCTTCCAAGACGCTTCAAGAGGGCCCCACGAGGACCTCACAGAAGGCCCCAAGAGGCCCAACTCGAATAGATCCCTCGGGTGTGTTGGTATGATTAGAGCAAGATTGCCTGTTCGATCATAAGAACGCCCATTGCGGTCCAAGAGGCCCCCCATATCGCCCCTAGACAGCCTAAGAGGCCCCCACAGGGGCCCCAGGACGACCACGAGGGTACAAAGACAGCAAGGGAGGCCCCCAAGACAACCCCATGAGGCCCCCAAGACGGCCCGATGAAGGGCCCAAGATGGGAACTCGAACTGATGCTTCAAGCCCTTCTCCCCAGAACGACCCGAAAGCCCCCAAGAGGCTCCGGAGGCGCCCCCATGAGGCCCCGAGAAGGCTCAAAGACGCTCCCAAGAAGACCTCAAGACGAAGAGGCCGCAAGAGGCCTCCAATCAGCCTCCGAAAGGCTACCAAGAGGCCCTGAGAGGAGCCGCCTCTTTCGCTGCCATGCCAAAAGTGTACGGTCTGACTTGGTATCGCTCGGAAACGGAAGCGCTGAGCTAAGAGCCAGCGGCCACCTCCGAACACCTCAAACCTCTTCGCTCCTCGCTACGTGGTGGAGGCCATCAAAGAGCAGTGGCGCCCTGGATCGTCGGATTAGGCGAGAGGACACCAAACTACCTCCACATGAATATCTGCATGCGAACCGACTTACACACCTGCATACCTGTTCTATATTCACATCGATGTATGTCATTTGTGTGCGCATCGTATTTGACGGTGGAGAGATACAGAGCCACACACCTGTGTGTATACTATATGAGCACATGTCAATACACATGGGGAGATAGAGAGAGAGAGAGATTTTTAAAAAAAAACAAAAAGAGAAAGAGAAATAGAGACAGACAGACAGACAAGCAGGCAGGCAAACAGACAGGCACGCACACACACACACACACTGACGGAAAAAGACACACACATGTATGCATACGTATATGAGGTATGCATACATGAATGTAGACATACATGGAAACACAGAGTAAGAGATGGCGAGACAGAGAGACAGAGAGAGAGAGACACACACACAAAACAACTAACAAACAGAACACGAGCGCCGGCTCCCGCTGCCGCGCGAGCGCGGCGCCCTGAAGGCGTCTTCGAAGCAGCAGCAGCAGCAGCAGTCCCCCAACCCTACCGCCTGCCTTGGTCCTCGTGTGCCCGCACGAGCAGGTGAAGCAGTCCTGGGTGGGCGGGGGCGCGACGCAAGCGACGTCCTGTCTTTTACGCTTCGGCGTCCGCGGAAGTCCCGACCCTGTCCTGCATGACGGGCTTCTCATCCTGAATCGTTCCTCGACGGTCCCGGGGCACGGCGAGGGCCCCGGGGACACGAACAGAAAGAACAACCTCCCGTCCAGACTTTTTAGCAGCTCGACTAATGCCAGAGTTTCGGCGTGCTCGAGTCTTGCCTTCCTCGTGACCCCAAAAGGGGTCCAGCAGAAAGGGGGTGGTGCAATGGATTTGGGGCAATTGCATCGCGAATGTATTGCGCCAGCGACTTGTATTGCACCGTATTGCGACTAATGTATGGCACGCGAAATTCCAGCAATACATCTCGAGTGCATTGCACACCCCAAAAATACTGCAACCGCACAAATCGATTGCACCAAATCTATTGCACCATCCCTTCTTCGCTGGACCCCTTCTTTGGGTCAACGTGGAACCTCTCCCCAGGACTGGCTTCTCATCCCGAGCCGCTCCTCGACGGCCCGGGGCACGGCGAGGGCCCCCGAGGAGGAGGAGGAGGAGGAGGAGGAGGAGGAGGAGGAGGAGCAGGAGGAGGAGGAGGAGGAGGAGGAGGAGGAGGAGGAGGAGGAGGAGGAGGAGGGAGGAGCGAGGGAGGGAGGGAGGGAGGAGGAGGAGGAGGAGGTGGAGGAGGAGGAGGGTGGCTGGAAGACGTGGGAAAAGCCCCGGCCCGCAGACGGAGGAGCGCCTCCCGTCGAGCCTCGCCTCCTCCCCGGCCTCCGAGCGGAGACCGCACGGCGCGCGGCGGAATCCGCACGGCCGCGGGGGGCGCCGCGCGCCGCGCCTCTCTCTCCTGCCGGGGGGCGGGGGAGGCCCGAGGCCCGCGGCGGAGGGGCCCTCGGCTCCAGCCGCGGGCTCCCGAGGGGCCTCGACCCCTCCCCCTGGGGGCGCGCAGAGGCGCGCACCTCCTCCTGCTCCTCCTGCTCCTCCTGCTCCTGCTCCTCCTCCTGCTCCTCCTGCTCCTGCTCCTCCTCCTGCTCCTCCTCCTGCTTCTCCTCCTCCTCCTCCTCCTCCTCCACCTGTGGGGCAGGAACCCAGAAGTCCGACGTCGTGTTTCTAATTTTTCTGTTCGGCCTCCAAGGGCCCTCGCCGGGCCCCGGGGAAGGGGGTTCAGACCTCTGGGGCTGTCGTTGTGTACCAATCACGACAGCGGGGGTCTGGGGAGGGGGTAGAGTGGGTGAGGGCTTCTCAGGAGGCTGCTCCTTAGCAGGCGCAGGCCTCACATCTACAGACGAGGCCGGCGCCTTCTAAGACGCAGCCTCTGTCTAAGAAGCCTCCCCACCTCCCCCTACCCCCCTCTGCGCGTGACTGACAGTCTCTGGGGGCAGGCTTCCGTCCCGCATTCAACTTCGAGGGTCGCCCTGAGGGTCGCCCGGAGGAGGCCCAAAGTGGCAAACCGCGCCAGGACGGAAACCAACCCATCCGCCAGGGTTTCTGGGGGGCCAGAGGACTAATGTACCGCAGGGAGGGTCCACAGGCTGGGACCGTGCTCCACCAAGTACCTCTCACGTCGTCCTCGTCCGTCGTGCGTCGTTCGTCCGTCGGCCGAGATGTCTCTACATCCCCTCCTAGGGGAAGGTGAAAAAAACACGCGATGACCACCCCTACAAACGAAGCACTTCAGCAAACACGCCCAACGAACACTCTGCCTGCAACGAATTCAGGACGGCGGGCTCGATTGGCTTCGCCGATCCAACGCCCAGAGAGCAGAAGAAGTCCTTCGCAATGAACCTGGACTCTGACCACGCACATTCAGTCCGAACGGAGCGAGGAACCCACCCCGAGGAGGAAAACAGGATCCAAGAAACTAGCCTGTTCAATCCCCCGGCGGGTCGTACAGCGGAACCACCTCCGCCAGCGCCAGGGACAGAGCTCCCCAGCTTCCCAACTGACGGGGAGGGCACTCCACAACGCTCGTTGGGCTTTGCTTTCAGAAGCCCAGACCCCCAACGTCGTGCTTTGCTCACAACGTAGACCCCCAGATGGAGACCTCCTAGATGGGGTCCGAGTAGATCGGGTCGGAGGGTCGCGCCGCATCGGCGGTGCATCGGCGTTACATCGCCGATGCATCGGCGATGCGTCGGCGACGTCGGCGCAGCATCGGCGCCACCGGCGTGGAGAAGATCGGGCTCCACATCGAGGCGCATCGCCGATGCATCGGCGATGCGGCACGATCCTCCGACCCCATCTACTCTGACCCGGAGGCCTAGACCAGAGGTCCGGAGTCCGGAGCCCCTCCCCTGGATCGGTTTTTCACCCTGAATCGTTTTTGGACGGTCCCAAGGCCCAGTGAGGCATCCCGGAGGCCGAAAGTAGCAAGAAGCCCTCTGTCGTGACGTTTTCATGACGAGACGGAGTCTGCATTGGGCTTCTCTGCCAGAGGCGGGGGGACCCGAGCAGGGCGGAGCAGCCCCAAAGAGGAGGAGGACAAGCAGGAGGACGGGACGCCCGCAGCCGCGTATAGTAGTGGCAGGAGGAGGGGGAGGGGATGACGGCAGCCTCAAGCCTGCGTCCTGCTGAGCTATGCCGAGGGCCTTCGAGCGACACGCAAGACGAAGCCAGGACGAGGAGAACATCGGGGTGGTTGTGAATTGAGAGTCTCTGAGGCCCAGCGTCTCTGGAAGATGTCTCGGGCGCTGCGGCCTTCTCAGGACATTCTGGAACGCTCCGAGAGCGTTCCGGAACGCTCTGAAATGGATCTATTAGAAGAAGAAAAACTTCATAAACATAAACTTTTGGCGCTCCGCGCGGATTTCTGGGACCTGAGCTGGACCCCCTTCCTGGCGCGCGGAGCGCGCCAAGGGCGCCGCCTGAGGCGCCGCCGGGGCGGGGCCCCAGCGCGGATCCAAGTAATCCGCGCGGAGCGCCAACAGTTTTATGTTTATGGCGTTCTTCTTCTTCTTCTTCGAGGAACGCTCTGGAACGGATTTATGCTTGTCCTAGCCCCGTCCGAAGCACGTCCCCTCTGCACCGCTTGCGTCCTGTCGCCCCAGCAGCACGGCGCCCAGCAGCCTGCCTGGGTGTGTGCAGGGCCCCAGCAAGATAATTCGCAGGCTGCAGCCGCGGGCGGGGAAGGGCCTCTCGACGCGGAGCTGGGCTCTGGAGAGGAGGCGCCTACCCAGACCTCCTCGCGATGTGAAAGCATCACGAGTCGAGCGACGAAAAGAAGCCCTCCTCCTCCTCCTCCTCCTCCTCCTCCTCCTCCTCCTCCTCCTCCTCCTCCTCCCCCTCCCCTAGGGAAGCCGAGGAGGGCCCAGACCTCCTCGCGCTGCGTGAAAAAATCACGACGTGAGGTTTTCAACCACTTTCGGCCTCCGGGGGCCCTTCCCGCGCCTCGGGGCCGTCAACAGAAAGCGACTCGGGACGAACAACCGGTCCTGGGGAAGGGGTCCAAGACCTCTGGGGGCCGGCGCTGTGACAAACATCGCGGAGTCGGGGGTCTGGGTATGCGCCCACAGGTGCAGCGTGCTCTCGGGGCACTCCCCGCCCCCCGCCCCCCTCGTCCTGCAGCCCGCTCGGAGCTCTCTCGGTGCTCTCCCGGTGCTCTCTCCGTGCTCGCCAGCTCTCTCGGCGCTCTCCCGGTGCTCTCTCTCCCAGGGCTGGACGGCGGGGCAGCTCGCAGGGCTCCCCCGCCGATCCAGAACTCGGAGTGGCACGCCGTGCGGGAGCGGAGCCACGACGCCCACGCGAGCGACGCTCAAAAACGGGTCTGACGCGAGATGGCGCAGCGACCTCACGCGATGGCTTAATTACGCGGGCCGCCGGCGCTGCCCACGGCACTGGAGACGAGGGCGCTCGAGTTACGCGCGGCCTCACGCGGGCAGCTTGCGCGCCAATGCTGGCGCTGACGATCCCCGTGTTTGGCGTCGCTCACGTATCAAAGTGGAGGCAAGGGGGGGGCTCAAGCACATTGCAGTCGGTTTGCGGAGGCGGAGCATGTCCACTATAGTTAGCGCGCAGCCCAATCCTGGATACCACAGAAGGCCAACATCTTCTTCATCACGGGCGAACCCACGACTGACGACCCACGAGGCGCAGGAACCTTAGTACAGAAGGCACTCCCCGATCAACTTTTGTATAGAGGTGATCGCGGCTGGGCGGTAGGAATAACAACATGCAGCATGATGAGTCACAGGCGTCGAACATATACACATCCACACCGTCGTGGTCTGGATTCTGGAGCGTGATCCCCTGGATACGCGGTCGCATGGATACGTTCCGCGGGGCATCAATGTGATCGCTGCCCAAGGGGCCAGGCCCGCGAGGCCGTGGATATGGATATGTCGACCGCCCACGAATGACGGCCTATCAGATCTGACTTAGTCGCGCAAGCCATGGAAGCGCTCCCACGGTCGCAGCAAGTCGCGCGCGCTCGACCAGCAGACCAAGTACCACAGTGTCGATGGCTGAACGATTCGAAGCGCTTATCGACGATTGCAGCCGTCCGTGCTCGCGGCGCACGACAGGGGGGTAAAACAGGGCTAGGATCGGGATAAATCGCTCCAGAGCGTTCCGGAGCGCTCTCAGAGCGTTCCGGAACGCTCTGGAGCGGCCGCGGCGCCCAGTACATCCTCCAAACCCGCCGATTCTCAGAGATTTCGAGTTATCCCGATCCGATTTTGTCCCGATCTTCGCGTCGTTTGAACAGGGGGGACAGCAAAGAGAGCTTAGCGAATCCGCTCGCGCAGCTGGCTTCTCCGGCTCCTCCCCGGCGCCGGAGGCGCCCACTTATACCTGTCGCAAGGCGCCCAGCGGCGGGGGCCGCAACCTTGCCCAATATGCGGCAGCTCTCGCACCCCCGCTCTCGCACAAGCCCCCTCCCCCCCCCCCCCTGTGGGACGCACAGGTGAAGGGGCCCCAGGACACACCAATAAATACACACGAATAAAGATATTCCCCATATTTTGCAATCTTTTCTGGGTTTCTGTCTTCCCCCCCCCCACTTCCCATATTTTCCCAGATTTTCTGGGGAATCGAGGATTAATTGTGTCTGTGTGTTTCTTTTCCTCCTGAAAAGGACATGCTGGTACGATGTGTGCACCTTGGAGGCGTGCGCCCGAGCCGAACATGCACAATATAGCTAGCCTCCTATGTGGGACGCTAAGGACATGCTGGTACGATGGGTGCACCTCGGAGGCGTGCGCCAGAGCCGAACATGCACAATATAGCCAGCCTCCTATATGGGACGCAAAGGACATGCTGGTACGATGTGCGCACCTTGGAGGCGTGCGTCCGAGCCGAACATATAATATAGCCATTCTGTAGTAGGTCGTTTCCCGAGCAGCATGGCCAGAAAGCGCCCGCGACGGAGCTTCTACTATAGGAACTCTCGGCGCGCGCGCGTCGCCTCTGGGGGGGGGCGACGCACACATAGTATCAGTATGTTGTGGTGACGCCGAGCCCCAGTTCGTCCAGCCGATGGTGACAGATCGAACGCTTTCGACTGATTTAGAAGAAGACAGAAACACATGCACAGAAACTGTTGGCGCTGCGCGCGGATTTCTTGAATCTGCGCTGTACCCCACTCCCTGGCGCGCTGAGCGCGCCAGGGGCGGCGCCAGAGGCGCCGCGGGGGGGGGGGGCCCAACGCGGATCCAAGAAATCCGCGCCGAGCGCCAAAAGTTAAGTTTATGGCGTGTGACTTCTTAGAGAATTAGAGGCCTCCTATGTAGATGGGGTCCGGGAAGATGGGGTCGGAGGTTCGCGGCGCATCGGCGATGCATCGGCGACGCCGGCGTGGAGAAAACCGAGCTCCACATCGAGTCGCATCGGCGATGCATCGGCGATGCGGAGCGGTCCTCCGACCCCACCTGCTCCAGCCCCGCCCGGGAGGCCTGTATAGGATGATTGGCCGTGCAGGGCCCGCAGGGCTCTGTGGCCCGCGAGGGCTCTGTGGCCGTGGGCCCTCGCGCGGGCAGCGGATCGTGGGCACGCGGCCGCCGGGCGCAGCCGGGGCCCGGGCGAGGCGCACGCGGACCGAGCCGCACTTCCCGGCCACCTCCGGCCGGAGGGCGCGCCGAGGGGGGAAGGAGAGGAGGGAACGAGTCGAGCGACGAAAAGAAGCCCTCCTCCTCTTCCTCCTCCTCCTCCTCCGCCTTCTCCTCCTCCTCTTCCTCCTCCTCCTCCTCCTCCTCCTCCCCAAGGAAGCCGAGGCGGGAACGAGCCCAGACCTCCTCGCGCTGTGTGAAACAAACCGCGACGTGAGGTTTTCAACTGCTCTCGGCCTCCGGGGGCCCTTCTCGCGAGCCTCGGGTCCGTCAGCAAAAAAAACGGCTCGGGACGAACAACCGGTCCCGGGGAAGGGGTCCAGACCTCTGGGGGCCGGGAGTCGAGCGACGAACAGGAGCGGATCCTACGCGAGATGGCGCAGCGACCTCACGTCGCCGCGGCTCGCGCGGGCCGCGAGCGCGGCACGCTGCATGTTGGAGACGAGGGCGCTTGCGCGCGCCCTCACGCACGCGGGCAGCTTGCGCGCCAGTGTCGGCGCAGACGACCCTCGCTTCGCTTGCGTCGCTCAGTTGGAATGTGAGGGGGCAGGGGCACTTTCAAAACCGCAGCAGAAGCAGTGCTGCAGTGTTGGCTAGTGTTCAGTTGAAGGATCAGGGGCAGGGGGACACATGAAGAAAAACGAACGGGCGGCGAAATGCGACAGGGAGCGGAATCGCGCGCCCTCTCTGACCGTGCCACACACTAACCTGTTGTATGTTCACTTCCAGCTGGGAGCACTCCACCTCTGCTTGCCACCACCACTACCACTGCTACTCCCTCTGAGAAAGACGCTGCCACTGACACTTCCACTGCCACCGACACCAGTACAGCCGAACACCACCCACTTTCACTTGCACCGCTACAGTGAGTGTACGTACCACTGCCACCACCAGCACAGCTGAACATGCTCATGAAGCGCGGCCAGGACTGAAGGGCTCCGAACGGCCACAACCGGGGGAGCTGTGCTCCTGACCCCCAGTGGAGCACATCGTACCGACGATCTCGAAAGGGGCGTCGAAGGCGATTGGCCCCCACAAGGGGCGAAAGGCCACACCTCCCCGAATTGTGACTGGTCTGGGGCGGCTCGCAGCTCCGAGCGTTTCAAATGTTACACGAGGGCGCAGCGCGCCGAAGAGCGCCGAAGCCGCAAGCGAGTGGACTCGCTGAGCTTCCCAGGCCGGGTGGGCAGATCACTGGCCAGAGTCCCGCTGCCCACGGAGGGAGGAGGACGCCGCAGTGTTGAACGCTTCGTGGCCCTCTCCTAGTTTCCAGGAGCTTCCGGGGTGACCTCTGCAGGATTCCAGGGACCTCCGGAGACGTCCAGGCCCTCCCCCCCTCACCCCCTCACGTGGAGGACAGGTGTGAACCCGGGCCAGCCAATCCGCAAAGGAAACAGTCTGGATAAACACAGCCATTCAGAGGTCCGCGCGGATTGACTGCATCGAGTGGACCCCTCCGTCCCTTGCGCGCGGAGCGCGCCAATGGCGGCGCTGTTCAAGCCGCGTCTTCTGATTATTCGAAACGCCTGCCTGGCATAAGATGCATTGGCGTGAGCGGACACCCTCCTCGCTCCGACCACTTACCGCGACCGCGACCAGTGTCACTACCACAGACACAACCACGACCAAAACGTGGCCACCCGGAGGTCGAGATCCTCCCTTCCCCAGGACCAGCTTGCCATCTCTTGCATTTTTGTTGACGGTCCCGAGGCCCCCTGGATGCCGAAAAATGCTCAAAGCCGCATGTCGACATTTTCTGGACGAGGGGGGTCCTGGTTCTCCCCTGACTGATGTTGCTGTTCAACCTGTGGGGGCGCTTCTTGCGACTGCGTCGAGGCGACCGAGGTGCGCTGAAGAGGGGGGCGAGGAAGAGGGAGACTAGCGTATCAGGGCTCGAGGCAAATGCGCGGGCGAGGGGGTGGCGGGATTATGAGTTGAACGCAGCGCAGGGGACAATGACATCTAGGAGTTCTCGTGGCCCCAGCGATGATCTCCCCCTAGTCCTGACCCCTGTTTTTTTTGTCCAGCCCGAGAGGCGAGGCCTTCATGGGCACGGTGTGCGGGAGGCCGATCTTGTTGCCCCAGTACCTTCGGGTCCAACCAGCCTCGAACGTGTCCCTATCCCCAAGATGGGCGAGCAAGAAGCGATGGCAATCTTAGGGATGTGCGCTCAGAAGATGCTGGCATCCTTACGATCGGCGTCGAGGTGAGGTGATGCCAAACACAGGGATAGGCATACGTTTCACACTGGTAAGGGTCCACGGGGGGCATTGCGGCAGAGAGGTGTCGAGCAGGCTCGCCTCAAGCCAAGGGGGAGAGCGGTCCATAAAAGGGCATGCGGCATGCCAAGACTCCCTCCCGTCGTGAAGAAGGACGCCGCCCTTGCGGCAGGCGACCCTGCACGGCTTTACAGTCGCCATGGGGAGTCACAATGGGGGCCACCATGTGCGGCAACGGCGAGCCAGCGATCTCGGGAGCCCGGACTGCCCCACCGGCCGTTCGAGCATACAACGAGTGGCATTGGAGACAAGCTGCTTAGGGAAACGCGACGGCAAGCTCTTGCTTGTTTTCGGCCTCCACGGGCCCCAACCGCGCCGCGGGACCACACACAAACATCTGCCCGAGATGCAAAGCTGGCCTGAGCGGGGGACTTGACCGCTGGGGGGCGAATCCCTAGCCTCCCCACTCTTACTCTCATCCTGCTGCTGCTCCCTCGGCTAATGGAGACTCGTGCTCCTGCTGCTGCTGATGCTGCCGCTCCGCCCTCTCACACTTCTCCTCGTCGCCATCATGAGCCGTTATGCTCTTCCTATGGCTTCATATCCTTCTCCTGCTCCTCCTTCTCCTCCTCCTCCTCAACCTCCTCGTCACGATAACCTGTCACATATTCCCTCCTCTGTCCCTCTGTCTACAGGGAAGCTGGACAAGTGGAAGTGGCCATGGCTGAAAATCTAGCAAGGGCTGGAACGAAGCCGATGCGAGAGGGATGCTTCTACTGGCCATGGGCTGAGAAAGCTTCAGAGAGGGGCTGGGAACCGTTGAGGAGCTGACCCCTGCCCCTCTCTCGAGAGCCCCCCGTGCCCTGTCGCCCTCACTGGCACGGGGCACCCGCGGCGCACAGGGATCAAGCTGAGCTTCGCCGCGATGATGCCGCCACGGATCGCCGTGGCCACTTCCTCGCGGGGATGACGCCATTACAGCAGGAGCTCGAGCACAATCTCCCACAAAAAAAACCCAACCCTGAGACCCCGGGACGTCTATTTTTTGTGTGTTCGTGTGGGAGCGTCGCGCTGTCCTTGGCAAAACCATCGGGATCGAGGAACCCCAGGGCACCCTGGAGGCAAGCAGGGTGCTTCTTGGCATGGCTCTCCACTGCACAGCACGGCCCTCCACGTACAGCCATCTTGCGACCACGCAGAGCGACCAGGAGCGCGCCAACGGGGCCTGTCCTGGCCACGGCGAGCCTGGGCAACGCATAGGTTGCCCAACCGACGGTCGCTCCACTCTCGGATTCGCAAGGAGCGACCCCCCCTAACATTTTAGGAGGGGACCTGCAGTAGGAGGCCCAGGAATGGTAGAGGTAGGAGGATGTTTCCCGAAATCAGGCCACACCGCCCGCACGTGCTAGTGACCCCTGGTGCAAAAGCGGGGACCTGAATCAGGGTACGACGTCATCGTGTCATTGGTGAGGATTAGTGGTCGACTGTGGTAGAGGGGTCCTAGGTCCTAGGTGGGGTCCGAGTAGATGGGGTCGAATTATCGCGCCGCATCGCCGATGCATCGCCGATACGGCTCGACGTGGGGCCCGATTTGCTTCACGTCGACGTCGCCGATGCATCGCTGACGTCGCCCATGCATCGCCGACGTCGCCCATGCATCGCCGACGTTGTTGCTTTTGTTGTTCTTCCTTCCTTTCTTTATATCTGTGTGTGTATATTTATATAGATGGCCACGGCGAGTAACAGCCGCAAATATAGGTTCCCGGATCCGGGGAGCTGCCCCCGGACCAGAGCCCCTCCTGAGCCCGCCCTCCGAGGCGCCCCGCATCCGCGACGGCGTGGGCCAGGCCTGCCCGTGAGTCTGCTCGCGCTCTCTCCAAAAGGGTCTCCCTGCCTGCCTGAGAGAGCTGCGTGCTTCTTGTTTCGGATCCGGCCTCAGAACCACGCATATTTATTCACGCCGGCTCCGGCTTCAAAAACACGCAGTTCGATATATATATATATATATATATATATATATATATTTGTAAGCGGGGCCCGGCTTCAAAAACATGCAGTTCTATATGGTTTTTGTGAGCGGGGCCGGGCTTCAAAAACACGCAGATCTCTGTGTTTGGAAACCGGATCCGGCTCCAAAAGCACGCAGTTCTCTCGGGCCCAGTGCCCTTTCTGCACCCCAGTGCCCGCATCGAAAAAGAGGCGGCCGCAGAAGCCGGGAGCCGCACCGCACCGCTTACCGGCCAACCCTCCTGCGCTCTGCCCTCACTGCCCGTCCAACGAACCCTTCCCGAGCAGATTCCCGAACCCTTGGTATCTCGCGATCTGGTTTCGGAGACCGGGGGGAGGTCGGAAGCTCGGGCGGTCGGGGCGACTTCGACAACCTCCGACCCGGGATCGCAGATGCCAGCGGGAGCGGTTTGACCTCGTCGCTTCCCCCTCCTCCTCGTCTCTTTCTCCTCCTCCAGGAATGACAATCCCGAGCGTTTGGTCTGCATTCCGCCTGACCTTGGAGCACTTGGAGCCCAAGCCGATGTGGCCGTTGTTGTCGCCAACCAGCACGTAGCAAACGAAGCGGTTGGTCTGGCCAGCGGAGCTCATCTTCTGCACAGGGTGAATCTTCATCACTTCATCCTGGGTGGGCAACAACACAAACGCACACGTCCAACATTTGTTTGCTAGTTCCTTAGGGCCTTAGGGCCCTAACCACACGCATAACCAGCACACATCCACCGCGAGTGCATCAATAAGACACGAAAAGGGATTCAGTCATCGGGGTACATCTAGCCTGTCTCGGTGTAGGCATGACCGCCTTGCGAAGGCCACCGCACTGGCGCAACTTCTGGAATGGAACGAATTTGTGTATTGCGAACGCGTCTCGGCAAGCGGATGCCAACGTCGCAAAAAGTCCTTCCCACATCCGAGAGCACACGCATAGGGCCCAAGGTTCCAAGACAAACCGAAGTGGCCCTCACGTATGGGGTCCGTCTGTGCACCCTGCTCCTGTGAACTGGGCAACGCTGGGAATCCCACCAGCCCTCTGGGCGTGAGTGATTTAGAAAGTTTCCTCGTCCAACCTCCCTCATCCACTTCGGGGAAGGGTCTATCACTGCCCCTTATTAGTGTACACCCCCTCCTCCATCCAACTGTGGGCCAACCCGAGACCCCAACCACCATCCCTGTTAAACACACACTATAAGAATGCACAGTGCCCCCGAACCTGGAGCGTGCGCGGGCGCCCCGCGACCACTTTGCGTTGGTGTTTGAAAAGGGCGGCGCGGGGGGGGGGCGCCATATTGCCCGCTGCGCGCGAGCCAACCATCCCTGTCGACAAAAACGATACGTAACGTTTTTCTCGAGTTCACATCTGGAGCGTGCGCGGGCTCCGCGCGACCTTTTCGCACTGGTTTTTGAGAAGGACGCTAATGGGCGCCGACATGTTGCGTAAGCATGGAGCACCTGCAGCACTTGGCGCGCCTGGCTCGCCTGGGCCTCCAGGGTGCCTGGTGCACCTGGAGCCCGTGGCGCACATGGCACGCGTGGCACTCCTGAGCAATATGATGAGACTCCCTCGGGTGTTGCCTATGTTTTGGGAGGGCGGGGGGGAGTGAGCGAGACGGCTTGCGGGCGAAGGGGGGGCCTCGACCCCTCCCCCTCCCCCGTCCCTCTGAGTCTGGAGGGGAAGGGTCGCGAGGCGCCAGAGGAATTCAAACTCATTAATTTTAGTAAGGTGTTGGCCACATGTTGGCCTCCTGGGGGCTACTGTACCACGGCCCCTCCTTTGACCGATCTCCTCCAAGATGGCCCCAAGCTGGTCCCAAGGGCTCCCAAGGGTACCCCAAGGCGGCCCGAAGAGCTGCCCAGGAGGCCGAAGAGGCCCCCAAGAGGCCGCCAGTGTGCCCCCCGCAAGCTCCCACAAACGACCCTCAAGAGGCCCCCCCCCCCCGAGGCACCCAAGACGCCCAAAGAACCCTCGGAGAAAACCAAACGCACTGATTGCTCCAAGGTTTTGACCACATGTTTAATCTCCTTGGGGGGGGCTGTAGGACCTCTTGTTCGTGCGATTGCAACCAGGTGTCGTGTATGTGAACCAGCATGCCGCGTTTGTTGTATATGTACATATCACATGTGAAGATAAGCTGGTTTGCGAATCGATTCCTGAAGAGACAGATTTCCCAAACCAGTTGTACTGTAATACTCTCATGGCAACCCTGCAATCAACATTAGGCTGATTCCATGTGCGAAATGCTTTCAAGCGTCAGGAATTTCAGAACGCTGCCGCCGTGGCGGCCGCGGAACGTTATAAGAAAAATAAGAAAATATAAAAACAAAGCCAACCATTGCTGCAACGTGTTGCGCCAATAAGAAGTCCAACATCCACAAGTGTTCTTCAATGTTTCCCGGTTTGCCCTGTGCACACATCATTATTTTACTGTGTTTCCGGTTTCCATTGTTTGCCAGATAAGCGTCCGCGGCCTCAACGCGCCGCCAATAGTATATACCGCAACGAAAACTAATTTGAAAAATCACACAAGGAAATTCAATTTGTGGGCACCACATTTTTCTTCAAACAACAAAACAAATCACTTTAATTTCCATGGGCGAATTGATTTCAAATGCAAGGGCTTTCCAGAGGCAACGACGTGGTGGCCGCGGAAACTTGAAAAGAAATCAAGGAAACACATAAAACAAATACAATGGCTGTCACTATTTCTAAATATTTTCCGGTACAGGTTGCATTCGCCACAAGGTTTCCAGATCTTTCCTGCAATACAATTGTTTTACTGTCCTTCCTGTCTCTGGCAGTCTCCGCGGCCTCAGGGAGCCACCGGTAGTGCTCACCACAAGTAAACCAATTCGAACACCTCCACAAGTAAATTCAATGTTGTAAGACTCCACAAGTACAATCACATTCATTAGAAATTGCCAAATGTTTTCAAGTGTGCGCTTGGCAGTGGCAGCGCCATGGCGGCCGCGGAACTTCACAAGGAAAACAAAACAACATGAAAACAAGCATGGGAAAGGGATAACCTGTTAATTTGCCATGTGGCACCACAAGGTTTTCAATGCTTTTCGTTGTTTTCCGTGTTTCCCTGGTCGGCCTCCGCAGCCCCGCGGCGCCGCCAGTCGCATTCACCATATTGAAATGAATGCAACAAGCTCCATCATTTTATGCATTTTAGAAATCGCCACACATCAGATCACCTTGGCTTCAGTGTACACACGGATTTCAATTGCAAATAGTTTCGAAAAAGGGAAAACCGCGGTTGTCGCGTGGACGTCGGGATATCAGCAACCCATGCGGGTCGGCGGAGTTGACCGAACGCGACTGGAAAAACGACATCGATACAGGCGTAATTTTTCAGTGCAGCCGCCTTTCAAGGAGAAGAGCGCAAGCAAAACACCATAGTTTCACAAAGTGCGGAATTAATGTGCGTGCCATTGGTATGCATCTAACGCCTTTGGCACTTTGCTGGAGCGTTGGTGTTTCTATCCTTGCGTTTGGTTCCCTTTTTCGCAATATTGGGGCCCTGCCCCTCGCCTACGGATTTCGAGCTCGGGGATTTCACATGCCCTAGCTCGCGCTGCCGTCGTAGGATGGGCATGGCGTGGGCGTGGCAAGACACCGGCGGCAATTGCGACATTACTTCTGGCGCCGTTTTCTTCATGTGCAACGAGATCACCTTTCCGAGTTGACCAAGTTTAACGTGAACTCGCAACGCTGCCGGATCGATGCGATCAGTAGATGATGTGGTAATTTAGTCGTGTTGCGGTGTCACGTATCTCGACAGGTGATCAGCGACAATCGACTTTGGGCTGCGGTCTGTAAGTGGTCTCTGGCACGACCTCTCTTTCTGGCTCATCGTTGCTATATTGTCGACGCAATACTGCTTGTGGCGCACGTAGGCAAGACGCACTCTGCAACCGTTCGTACGCCTTGCGAAACTCCGCGGGGCGCGATTCGAAACCGACCTGCTTCCGACACCTGGGCCGGCCCCCGTCGAAGTAGCGTTTCGTCTTCGGGCGCGGCGGAAGGCTCCCAGTTCAAAACGATTTTCTTGAAATCTATACTCAGGTGGTCACCCTCCAGGATGAACTTCACGAAGTCCAGTCACGCGTGCAGAGGGTCTCCGCTCGCGCATTTGAGATTCGGGAAGATCTTCCGTGCTTTCTGCGCGCCCCACTTCTCTGGGGCAGCACGGAATATGACTTCTGCTGGACGCCTGTGCATGTAAGTGCAAATATCTCACCACAGTCAGGAACATCTGACACCCCTTCACTGTATCCTGGTTTGCAAGTTACTGGGGCGCCGTGCGCCATCATCACGTGCGGTGCGCAATCAAATTCGCAGCCGTCAGCCTCGTCCTTCTCCTTACCCTTTTCATGGCTCGTCTGCCCCACCACTGCTACCGTGTATGTGTATGGGGAATCATAGGGCACGGCGCGGAAACGCAACCCGTCGACGCACTTCATCTTTAAAGCGGCGGATAAATACATTCCACCTCTGTAGTTGTTCCCACACTGCATTCATGATTGGCACCACGTAGCAAAATTCGCGACCATGCGATATGGTATGCTAAATGGCGCGATCCCGAATACTCTGAGTGCCGCCGTCCTTGGCGGAAACTACTAGACGCAAAATCCAGGCGTGACGTGATTGTTGCGGGTGATGGTGATTCCCTGATCGTCGACGGCAAACCGAGGGCCACGACCATGAATTGATCAATGCGTTTTTTGGCCTTGTAAGCAGCGCTTTTGTTTAATTGTACCCGGTACGCTTCCGCACCCTTTTGGGGTTTCCCCAGTTGCGCTGGAAGCCTCGTTTGGGTAGAGCCAAACCTCGGCGCGGCGCGACAACGACAAGACGGAACGAATGCTGAGGAGAACAGGATGAGGAGACTCAGAAAAAAGGATGAACACGAAGCCGAGGATGTTCAGGAAACGCAGGAGGAGGGGAGGAATGAGGGAGGAACGCAATGAGAGACCAATGGAAAGAAAGACGACGATGAACATGTACGGTCTGACGAGTAGCGTTCCAACTTCTAGGCAATCCATCAAGAAGACTTGATGTAATCACGCAAGCAAAGGGTCTCACGGGGGAACCCTAATTGAGGAACCCTCCGTTTTTGATCGATCTCCTCCAAGATGGCCCCACATTGGCCCCGAGGTTCCCAAGGGTGCCCCAACACGGCTCCAAGAGGTGCCCAGGAGGCCCCAGGAGGCCCCCAAGAGGCCCCCGAGGTGCCCCCAAGAGGCTCCCAAGAGATTCCCAAGAGGCCCCCCCCGAGGCACCCACGACGCCCAGAAGAGGCCTCGGCGAGAAATCCAAAATCATAGATGTCACTAAGGCTTTGGCCAAATGTTGGCCTCCTGGGATGGGGGACCCAATTCCAGGAACCCCCATCCTTTGATCGATCTCCTCCGAGATGGCCCTACGATGGCCCCCGAGGCTCCCAAGGGTGCCCCAACACGGCTCCAAGAGGTGCCCAGGAGGCCCCAGGAGGCCCCCAAGAGGCCCCCGAGGTGCCCCCAAGAGGCTCCCAAGAGATTCCCAAGAGGCCCCCCCCGAGGCACCCACGACGCCCAGAAGAGGCCTCGGCGAGAAATCCAAAATCATAGATGTCACTAAGGCTTTGGCCAAATGTTGGCCTCCTGGGATGGGGGACCCAATTCCAGGAACCCCCATCCTTTGATCGATCTCCTCCGAGATGGCCCTACGATGGCCCCCGAGGCTCCCAAGGGTGCCCCAACACGGCTCCAAGAGGTGCCCAGGAGGCCCCAGGAGGCCCCCAAGAGGCCCCCGAGGTGCCCCCAAGAGGCTCCCAAGAGATTCCCAAGAGGCCCCCCCCGAGGCACCCACGACGCCCAGAAGAGGCCTCGGCGAGAAATCCAAAATCATAGATGTCACTAAGGCTTTGGCCAAATGTTGGCCTCCTGGGATGGGGGACCCAATTCCAGGAACCCCCATCCTTTGATCGATCTCCTCCGAGATGGCCCTACGATGGCCCCCGAGGCTCCCAAGGGTGCCCCAACACGGCTCCAAGAGGTGCCCAGGAGGCCCCAGGAGGCCCCCAAAAGGCCCCCGAGGTGCCCCCAAGAGGCTCCCAAGAGATTCCCAAGAGGCCCCCCCCGAGGCACCCACGACGCCCAGAAGAGGCCTCGGCGAGAAATCCAAAATCATAGATGTCACTAAGGCTTTGGCCAAATGTTGGCCTCCTGGGAGGGGGACCCAATTCCAGGAACCCCCATCCTTTGATCGATCTCCTCCGAGATGGCCCTACGATGGCCCCCGAGGCTCCCAAGGGTGCCCCAAGACGGCTCCAAGAGGTGCACAGGAGGTCCCAAAAGGCCCCCGAGAGGCGCCCAAGATGCCTTAAAGAGGCCCCCAAGAGATCCCCAAGAGGCCCCAAGAGGCTCCCCAATGGCACCCAAAACGCCCCACGAGGCACTCGGGACTGCCGAAAGACCCCCAAGACACCCCAAGATGACTCCAAGAAACTCCCGAAAGAAATCCAAAGAGACTCCAAGAGGCATCCAAGGGGCTTCTGGCCTTTTCTGCTCTGCTCCTGCTCCTGCTCCTGCTCCTGCTCGTCCTCCTGCTCCTCCTCCTCCTCTTCCTCCTCCTCCTCTTCATCACCCACCTATTCCTCCTCCTTCCTCCTCCATCCTCCCACTCCCCCTTCTCCCTACTCCTCCTCCTCCTCCTCCTCCTCCTCCTCCGAATCATCCTCCATCCTGCTCCTCTCGGGGTATGTCGACTTACCCAGCCCTTTATTACACTGCATGCTCCTCCACGTCCCTGATCATGGCAACTCGTCTGGACATCGTCTCTGGATGGGCTGGTTGGGTTACGCGAAGCGTCTAGAATATCTTCAAGAACCATGGGCACATTGCGACCTTCAGCAGCATGTGCTGCCAAACGAATGAGTAGCATATCACAGCATAGCGCGGCATCGTAGTGATTACCATGACGTAGCTTTGCACTGTATATTTGTCACATATTCGAAAACATGGCGAAACTCAGCATTCCATATCAGTGCATACGATTGCATGGTAGAATCAGCCATGCCAAATGGTAGCGAATCGTGGTATGACAAGCACAAGTATAGCAGTACAGCGATGCATGCATGGCTTGACATGTGATTTCACGCCACAGTATGGCATGATGCCACTTGGCGTCGCAGAGGAAATCAATGCATTACATTGTACACCGCGGTACGTAGCCATGAGTGACACTCCATCGAACACCAACGCATACCATCACAACCCATGATAGCCCCGACGGTGGCGTATCATAGCACTGCATTGTAAGGCACATACATGCGTAGCATGGCATTGGCAGGGATAGCATTGGGCAGAGAGGCAGCGTAGACGCTAACATTGTGCAAAATGGCATGCCGTAGCACGTATCGGTGCAACTCTTAGCGGTTCATGCCACATCATGACGTTGTTTATCATAGCATGGCCGCACGCGCCTCCACATTGCATACCTTAGCCATTCGTGACAACAGAAGACCATTGCAAAAACAACTATCGGTCATGTTGGTGGCAATGCGAACTGATTCGCAACGCTGGCTGCTTCGTGGGAGGTTGCTCTGGGAAGAACGTTCCCTTCACCATTAGCGACAACCTGGGCTATTCGGCAGGATGGTGTGGAGCCGCAAGCCGTTAGACTGAACTTTTTCGCTGCTGTGCACGAGTTCTTCTGCGATTCTTGACGTAGTCTGCCACGGGGCACACATTTGCGAACCGCCGCAGGACCTGCGTCAATCGGGCTTGTGAGGGGTAAGCAAGCCACCACCGGTTCGAGAAAACGGATCGCAGGGGTCTTTGCATCGAATTTCGCCGCATCAGCACGGATTCGGAATCGAATCGGCCGCGCCAGGATTCACAGCAACGCTCGTGGGAGTATCGGAATCAAATCGTGTCGACCCATCGCCAGACTATTGAAGGGACACTCTCCCAAGCAGAGCAGATAAAGCACGTATATCAAGACAGAGCAGCCGCACCCACATCAAATAGCAGCACAAACAACATCGATACACATCACGACAAACCAAGACAAATCAAACCAATGCAGTATGACGACGAGCATTGCGACTCCAATCCCGACCTTGTGGAGCTTTCGACTGGACAAACAGATTGGGGCCCAACTCGAGAATACACGATAGGGGATCGGCAATCCTCGATAGGGGCGCGTCCATATAACCCCTGAAGGTATATCACCGAATTCTCGCCCTTCTCTAACATGCATTTCCGGGGGGAAAGGATCCGGGGTTGGGAACGAGATCTCGCCCGCGAAAACAACCACAGCAGGTCACCTGACGTGTGCGTCGCGCCCCGCGATGCGCGACGCGCACTTCTCTTCGTGCTCTCCGGAGGCCACCTTGGAACAGGGTAACTATCCAGCCCAGGTTGAGGCCGTGCATGTCCTCCTACAGGCGGATCTTGTAAGACGAATGAAAGAAATAGCCAAAACAAAAATCCCAAATCATCGAAACTGGTCAAACAAATCGTCTCCGGACAATTTTTTACTATGCTTGACCGTTCCTCCTGTGGAGGGACATGCCCGACTCACCACCATTCGGGGATGGACAGACCCCCCTTTAGTAAAACGTGGTTTAGTGAAAACGACCTGAGGCCCAAACCTGGCGGCCGCAAGTCTGGAAAATAACGGCCACGGCGCCCCCTCGAGAACCGAAAACGGACAATTCACTAATCGACGTGTCACTGTTGGGGGTTCTGTCCACCTCCGAACCATCCAGCCCAGGCCGCAACCCACGAACATCCGTTTCTCTTCACGCCCCTGCGGGCGACCAGGAGCAAGCACCAAAGCAAGACCGAGCGAGCAGGGCCCGCAATGCACCGCAGCAGCGCAGGGAGCAGCACGACGACGACGACGACGATGACACTGATGACGACGACGTCGTCGTCGTTGTCGTCGCCGTCGTTGTCGCCGTCGTCATCGAAACCGAACCGAGC